AATTTGTATTTCTCTGGATATTCCAGTATTTACAGAATAGTGTAGAAAAAACTCTGTGGGTGTACGTTTGCTTGTATATACATGCACACACATATCTAAGAAAAATAAGGATCCCCAAATGATTCACTTTACCAGAGCCCTCAAAAAACATTGGGCCACTGATGCTACCTTGCTGTTTCAGATGCTGCACAAGGCACTGTTCAATTCCTAATCTTAAAGAAGGTCTCTTGTCAGCAGGTCAGTATCATTCATGCCTTTCTTTTATTTTGCCTTTGGCAGCAAAATACCTTGAGACAGTCTTGAATTGCTACTTTTGAAGAGAAAGCACTATTTCATTACCTAAAGTATTTTTCTTTAGATTTTTATGAAAACAATCCTCAGTGGTCATACATTTAATTCTGTAGCAGCACACAGTTATTGAATTAACAAGAAAAGTTAATTTCATAACCGATATTCTTAGCTCCTGACTACAGAGTTAGGAATATGATTCTTTCCCTAAAATTGTTGATCAGCATTTGATGGGACTTAAGATTTGATTACAAGTAGTCCTTGACTTATGACTATAATGAAGCCTGCACATCATGATTGCAGGTTGTGATGGTTTTTAAGTAAGATGCTATGTGGTTACCTTGTTTAACAACTCCCATCCATGCAGGCCCTGAAGTGGTCATTAAGGTCCTGGAAGACCTAATACAGACATGCATGTCTGCTCTGGGCCTTTCAAGACCTGGCCACCCCTAGCACTCCATACTCTGCTTCCTGCCCTATCGGGTGCCTGTAGGTCAAAGACCAGCAGGGCATGAAATTCCAAAAAATAAAAATTAGCTTATAAAAAGAGGCAGACTAGATCATTATCTCTTAACAAATAATAGAAATTGTTAGATGCGCAATTGCATTTGTGCATAGCAATTCTAACCTTGACTATATGTTCATAATATAAATGTATATTATTGTATGTATTTGATACCTAGGCATAATTTTTTGTATAATTTTAAACATTTAAAGAAGATACACAGTTCTTGGCAAATCCAATTAAATGCACATACATTCATCACTTTTGAACCTATGGATGCTTTTCCTGATCTACAGCTGCCATCAGGTCTATAAGTGGTTGATAATAGTTAGGGATAATGACAATTATAGTGTCACCTTACCTGCAAATCCCTATTGGAAAATATGTTTATATGATCAGTAAAGTGATAATATTCCTCTTTTTTCTCAGTCTTGAGATAGAGATGAGAGATAGATGAGGGTGGGGGGAGAGAAAGGCAATAAAAATAAAGATAGATAGAATAGAAGGAATTTGTTTAATATTTTAATTTGCTGTTGCAGAAAACCCTAGGATGATTTCCTATTGTTGAATTGTTCCTTCAATTGGCCACCAAAATTTGAGTGCAAAATGGTCAATTACTAAAACTGCAGTTTTTGCAGGATTTGAAGGTTGCAAGCATTTGAAGCCCATGAATGGGGGTGGGGGGTGGGACACAAAAACAGCTTCCATAATACAAAACACTTTAATTCCCATTTTAACCCCACTAGAAATTTTTCACATAATGTAGAAAAACAGTTTGAAAAACTATGAAAATACTATTGGATGATCAAGTTTCCTATGACTCACCAGCAGTACAGAAGCTCCTGACCCAGAAAGTCTTTCTTTCCCCATGGATCTGAAATGGAAATTTTAGGCTACAGTAGAAAAACTGACCAAGGAGAAGCTGGTAGAGTTTAGGAATATTAAGAGAGGATCATGTAGCCTTACGAAATAGCTGGCATGGAGCTTGTTTGGTTATATAGTGGATAACTGTTCACAAATCACCCACTGACAAAAAGGCAAACTGGTAAAATGGTTTCCTGCCTTCCCGTTTAGTATGCTAGGGTCTTCTTTCACTCTTTAATTTATCTTTCTTTCTTTCTTACGGATAAGTAGACACAGTATTGCTTTGCAGATACAAACAAGTTCATTGTTATGTGTACTTATATGGCCAAGAAGCAGTATTGGGAAGATTGTGTTGATTATTTATGAATACAGCATTCCAAGAAGCATTTGGCCTTAAAGAAGAGTTTAAAATTCAGGAATTCAGGTCACTTTTATCATAAGGAAGAACCTTTTTAACCAAACTACAGTACAGGTTACTTAACTTCCTAAATAGTAGTGAAATATTAAGATAGTTCTTTGTTTAGAATGGAAAAAGATTAATGTAAAGCTTATGCCTTAGATTCATGGTGGTGAACCTATGGCACACACGCCACAGGTGGTACATAGAGCCCTCTGTGTGGGCACGTGCGCTGTCGCCCCAGCACAGACGAAATTCTGCCAGACACACCCCAAAACAAGCGATGGGCAGAACAGGGCTCTGGTTGGTAGATGTGGTTTCATTTCACGCCTCCCATTTAAGTTGATAGACAGCCAGGGTCCTGTTTGCGAATGGTTCCCCCACCTTTCCTTATATTTCGAAAAACCTTCCACACCCTTTCGCTTTTTCCACCCCCGATTCCCTCCGATAGTTATTTGCTTGCCTTCTTACAAAAATTACAGATATACAAGCAAATAACCTGTGCATTGATGAAACCTAATTGCAAAGAATGGTGTGTGTGTGTGTGTGTGTGTGTGTGTGTGTGTGTGTGTGTCTATCCCTACAGCAATAACGGATCCCTCACTGTTTCCCACCTCCTTGCCCTGTGCTTGGTCCCCTTGGTGTGTCCTATTCCTATGGCATGATTGTCTCATATCATGTGCAGAGTGCCTTTCAAATCAACCTCTGCAAATTTTCAGCCCTCACCAGAACAATAGAAAGGAGAGAAGGAGAGGAGGACTCTCTAGATTTAGTCTTCTTCGGTCCAGTTCCCTCCCGCCCTCCCATGCCATGGCGATCCTTCATCCTCACCCCACTTCCCTGCCATATTCCTATGAGGATCGCTCCCCTGTCTCCTTTCAGGAGTCCACCTAGTCTCCCTTCTAAGGTTAGCTGGGCTCTGCTGCCTCCTTACCATCCCCCCCACCAGCGACACCACCAGGTAAAGGGAGGTGGACCACCCTGGGACTTTGGCAGGGTGCCTGGAAAAGGTCTGCCCTGGGGTGGGCAGTGGGAACCCTGCAGATGCTGAGACCTTTCCTCGCTGGAAGGACTTGGCTGACCTGGTGCAGAGACGAGGATGGCAGTGCATGTGTTTGTGTGTGTGAGAGAGACTCCGCTTGCTTCCCTTCTCCTAAGTTTGCAGTCACTCTGAAAAGTTCAGTTTGTCCTCCAATTTCCTGAGTAGATCCTTCTAAGAAGAGTTCACTGGCTTTGTTGTGGGGGGGGGGAGAGAGGGAGGGAGGGCAAGAGAGAGAGAAAAAAAGAGGTAGAAAGAGAGGGAGGGGAAGAAAGAGAGGGGGAAGGAGGGAAAGAGAGAAAGAGGGAAAGAGAGAGGGGGGAAGAAAAAAGAGAAACAGACAGAGAGAGGGAGGGAGAGAAAGAGCGAGAGGAAGGGAAAGAGAGACAAAGCAAGAGAAAGAGGAGGAGGGAAAGAGAGAGGGAGGGAAAGAGAGAGAAAGAGATAGGGAGCGAGAGAAAGAGAGAGAGAAAGGGAGGGGGAAAGAAAGAGGGGGAAAGGGAAAAAGGGAGAGAAAGAGAGAGAAACAGAGGCAGAGAGAGAGAAAGAGGGAGATAAAGAGGGAGAGAAGAGACAGAGGAAGAGGGAGGGAAGAGAGAGGGAAAGGGAAAGAGAGGAAGGGAAAGAGTGGGAGGGAAAGAGAGAAATGATGTTACAAAACTTTTTCTTTTTTATTGTTGCAAAACATAATATTTCAAAAGCAGGAAAAAATGAAGGGGCATAAATGTGCATTTATCATGTTCTTCTTAGAACAACTAGCTGAACTTGTTTATCATTATTTTAGGTAGTAAAACCCCATTATTCAGGTTAAATTGCCGCGTTGGCACTTTGTGATAAATAAGTGGGTTTTGGGTTGCAGTTTGGACACTTGTTCTCTAAAAGGTTTGCCATCACTTCCTTAGATAATATCGATGGGTTTCTTGTAAAATTGAAAGCAATGTTTGACATTTCACTTTATTCCAGAGTCATTTTCAGGACTAGCTTTAAATGTTCTAATCAATGCTTTGATTTCTTTTCCTTCATTTCAACTTTAATTAAATGTAATGGATACAAAGCTCAGACTGACAATACTGCTGCATTCTGAGAAAGCAGAAAACAATGAATAAAATTTTCCAAATGTGTCAGACAACAGGCCAGTTTGGATATTTAGCAGACCCATTTCAGCTGGGCAATCTTCATGCCAATCAGAGTGATTTTAGGTGCCCAAATGACTAAACATATTTTGCCAATCTGTAGGTTGAGATACAGCTGGGTCTGTTTATCACTCCTTTGCCTGAAGAAAGAACCACTCGGGCAGATCATTGAAGGAGCAAATAAAGAAAGATTCATTTGGTACCATCCCAAGCCCTTGTGCTTCCTAAGGCAAATCCAAATATACATGCCACTCAAATCAACATTTCTTTGATTCACATACCTTGTCTTAAGTATCCACACCTAGTTGTAAGTTTTCCTTTCGGATAGAAAGAATGGCAAAAGAGGGAGGAAGAAGAGCTACAGCTAATTAAAGCCCATGGAATGGAAAAAAACCAAAACCAAAGGGACACACTGCCAAAATCTGATTACGCCTGATAGACAGTAAGGTCTTTGATGGAAGACTTCTCAGGACCCCAATAGAATTGTTCTACCCTTGTTCTCGGGGATGAAAGCTGGCCACAAACACATAGCTCATAGTGCTGTATGTAACCAATGGCTTTATCCTGCTTCATAGAAGGCTCCAGCATACCTAGATTGGGTGGCCATAGTGCATGCATGCTTATCTGATTGTGTCAATAGTGAATGATGTTAATAAGCATATAATGAACGTTTTATGGGCTAAGCACAAAGACTTTATTTCAATCATTGAAAAGATCCATGTTTATTTAATTTTCAGAAAATAGCTCAATCTTTGTTTTCCTATCCATAGGTCCTGTAAGCAGTATTTTGGTGAACAAATATGGCAGTAGGCCAATCATGATTGCTGGAGGGATTCTGGCTTCATTTGGAATGATTGCCTCTTCGTTCTGCAATAGTGTCTTGCAACTTTACATATGTGTTGGTGTAATTGGAGGTAATGTAACAATGTCCTTTTATTTGATTCTGCTGATGTTCTCCTTCAGCATGCATCTTTGGATTCTGTTTCTAATTGATTGGTTCATTCCTTTCTTCAGGTTAGGATGTTGTGGGTTTTGCATAATTCTTTCTGCAATATTTTACAATTACAGGAGAATAATTGATTGGTTACTGGCAGTATTTATCATAATCATTGACTTTCAATTTTATACTGGTTCTTTTAGTTTCTCATTCTACTGCAGGTATCCTTATAAAGAATTCAGTTTAGATAACATGCCAAAATAGCCATTTTCTATTACCAAGTTTATTCTAAAAGTGGCCTTTTGGGGCATTTGAAGGATAGGTAGTTCTGACCAAAAAGGTTGAAGTAAACTTAAAGGGAATGAAACAATGTACTGAAGCCCAAATATAACATATATTCTATTGTCCTTAATAGAATTTCCTTTTCACTGAATTCTCAAAGTTGATAGCTTTATAAATATATTCAAAACATTTTTTTTGCTGGTCAGCTACTTTCTGGAAAATTGGATCAACCTGTTTACCAAACATACTTATGCAATAGTCACTGATCCACACATGATGATTACTTGATCATGATTGATAATTTATATATACCGTGTATATATATAGTTAGAATTTTTGTCTCACTCCCAATTCACTATTCAGGCAAGTTGGATCATAACCAGCTTCAAGATTCAGTTTAAACTAATTGACTTTTAAGTAATTCTGCATTAAAACCCAGCTGTTTAGCTGTTGCTTGCAGTACACTCAGCTGTTTACCAACTTCAGTCATAATGACCTGGTTGTCTGAAACCCCATAGGAGAAATACAGATTAAGTCAATGCAGAACACATTTTATGATACCTTTCTATCCAAAGAAAGATATATAACAACTCTCATGACAGTTAGAATTATTATTACAATTGAAATTGAAAAAATAAAATTGTCTTACCAAATGAAATCAGTTGACTTACCAAAGTTGACTTACCAAATTAAATCAGTTTCTTTGCTTTTGGTTGGAAAGGAAGTTTCCTCATTCTGGGAGGATTTCTTTTTTAGCATATTATTAGTATATAAGCAAAACAAAGCAAAACTTGTTTCATTAATCACAAACATGTATTTTTTCATAAAATTGCCTTTAACAATAGAGGGTGGTAGTATAGGGAAAAATAGGTTTCCACATGTTTTTATGTCTAGTACTATATAATTATATATGGGGTAAATGAACTGTTTGCATGCTTGGGCCAGTCCCTTCTGCTCTATTTGCAGAGATCCTTGTATCTGCATAGAGAAAACTACTGTGTATTTCCAGATTTCATGGTGAAAACTGAGAGTTGCATTTGCTGTGTAATAGCCCATGTGTATTAATTATCTGAAGCTTATTTTATGTGTTCCTATTCAAACCTAAGTAAAGGATAAAACTAAAGGCAGAGGATTTAGATTTCTAAAATCTATCCATTTTATAGAAAAGTGACAATTAATAACTCCTGTGCAATAAGAACAAATTGGATTATAGCATAGTAAAATATACAAAAACTGTGTTCAAGGTATTGTTATCATTGTTCCCCTGTCATTCTGTTGTCTGCAACTTGAATTGGCCATTGCTAAAGTTTTTGCTTTTATTGCATAGCCATAGAAGAAAATGAGTGAGTGAAATCTACTGTGGCAGATTTGTGACATTAAGCATGCAGGAAGCAATGCCTATTTGTTTTTATTTGCCAGTATCAGTGGCTTTTTTTGAAAGATCTTTCTTCTGAATTACATATTGGAATTTTCACATATGGGCAGGAGGAGATGGGAGAGGCAATTTTGATTGATTTGGAGAGATTTGTTGCAGTGTATTAAATGCAGTAATGTTTCTATTTTTTCTGCTATTATTTTAGGTTTGGGTTTGGCTTTCAACTTGCAACCTGCCTTGACGATGATTGGCAAATATTTTTATAAAAAGCGTCCCATTGCTAATGGACTGGCCATGGCGGGAAGTCCTGTCTTTCTAAGTACTCTGGCACCCCTGAATCAGTTTCTTTTTAATGCTTTTGGTTGGAAAGGAAGTTTCCTCATTCTGGGAGGACTTCTTTTAAATTGCTGCGTGGCTGGGTCACTTATGAGGCCTGTTGGACCAAAACCTGTGCAGGTTATCAAAAAAGATGTGGAAAAAGCAACTGAAGATTCCACTTTGCACAAGAATGACAAGAAATCAGTCTGGCAAACCATCAACAAATACTTAGATTTAACCCTCTTCAAACACAGAGGCTTCTTGATTTATTTGTCTGGAAATGTTATCATGTTTCTTGGCTTCTTTGCCCCAATTGTGTTCTTAGCTCCTTATGCCAAGCATAAAGGAATTGATGAATATTCAGCAGCTTTTTTACTCTCTATCCTAGCTTTTGTAGATATGTTTGCCAGGCCATCAATGGGCTTAATTGCAAACTCGAAATACATCCGGCCCAAAATCCAGTACTTCTTTAGTTTTGCTGTTTTGTACAATGGGGTCTGCCACATCCTCTGCCCATTGGCTGAAACCTATACAGGCCTGGTTGTGTATGCCGTACTTTTTGGACTTGCATTTGGAATGGTTAGCAGTGTCCTTTTTGAGACATTGATGGATCTTGTTGGTGCACCAAGATTCTCCAGTGCAGTAGGACTCGTCACAATTGTGGAGTGCTGCCCTGTCCTTTTAGGCCCACCTATGGGAGGTAAGTATGGAAATGATGAAGGTGATGATGATACAATTGACATCTTAAGCTATTTGTATAATAAGAATGTGTACCCAAAACATTGATCTGGTACTTTGTGCGAAGATATGCAATTACTTTCCCCATTCTATTTCATTCCAAACATACTACTTCCTGGACTCAATCTCTAGCTATATGTTTCTTCATCTACTCATTTTCCTTCTGTCAGTATAAAATGTTACTATATTTTAGTATGTCAAATATATTTACTGTACCCATAGTTCTTCCAATAGAGCCTACATTTCAATGGATTGCTCTTTCTCATTAAAGAAGATTCTATTCTCTCTAGCCATCTATATCTTCTTCACTTGTTATTGTTATTACTATTATTATTAGCAAGAATTATTTTTTTACATGTCTGCAAATAACTCAATGAATATAGTTCTCCCCGGTGAGGTGTAACATCTCTAGTCATCTATCTTTCTAGAATTAAGACTTTTGACTTTTTTTTTATCCTGGGCTATGAATGAGTGTTGATAAGACATTTTAAGAACTCTGTTAGCATATATGATTTACTCTTTATTTACACATATTGAAATGAACAAATAGCACTGACTGGTAAGAAGAGAATTGTCAGTCTATAGGCTTGTTTAGCATTATTCATACAAAATTGATGGCATCAGAAAGTTAATGTGAAAAAGTTTTTTTTTTTAAAAAATGTTAATGTCTTAAATCTTTATATAAGCAGGAGGTGGGGTTGCATCCAAAATTCACCCCACATAGCCTGGTTTGTCTTTTCATCTTGTTTGCATGTACATTGTGAATCTTTTTATATCAATGCAGTCCATAAATCTGAGCAAGTGCAACAATGTACCTAGAATCTTGAGTCCACAGGTTTCTTTTAATTCACATATTTACAGTGAGTGCATAGATATACTCATTGGGCAAAGCATGGATTTGAGCTCTTTGGGTGCCGTCCAAATCCTATTACTTTTTGAAACACCAGATTAGATTTATGAAATCCACTTTTTAGGTGCTACTGTTCTTAATTATTTTGGTCTGAAGTATCTTGGATTCTTCTCTATCTATTTTTATCTTTATAATATACTGTATATGGCATATGTAAGATTACTGTCAACTGTATATAGACAGAATAAATCTATCATGTACTTAGAAGGTATGATTTTTATCACTGATGCAAGGGACATAAATCAAAGGTTTAATTTACCTTGTCTATATTTCCTTTTTAATATTATAATACTTAGCTAAAGTAAAGACTAAGCATGTTTGCATTAAAAAAGCACTTCTAATTAATATAATATTCTAATTCTGGAGAGCTGCTGCTGGTCTTTGTAGGGTAATGTTGTATTAATTAAAAGTTATATTAAGAATAAAATATCTTCCTATGTTCTTTTGCTCTCCCTTGACTTTCTATTCCATTCTTACTGTGGCAGATAGAAGTTGAATAAAGAAATAAATCTTACAACTAGGTTGGCTTTTAGTGATTCTGTAGCACTGAGCCATCAAAATGTTGGGTTATATTTGAAGTCTTGTAGTAGTTCTGAATAGGCAGAATCCAACTGCAACCTTACTATTCAGTTCCCACAAGCCTCAGCAGAATGGCAGTGGAACTTCCCACACAAGAGCCAGCTGGGGACATACTCATCAGGGATGGCAGAATGCAGTCCACCACATTATCTTCTCTCTGTTCCTGTGGCATCCAAACAGAAGCCATGGGGCAAAACATAGGTTTCTCTTCCTGCTACTTCTTTTTACTCAGTCATCCACTCAGATGGATTGGGAATAACTGAAACCATCTTTTTAAGGGGAACGTTGACTCCTTCCTCTCTTCCTTCCTTCCTTCCTTCCTTCACCCCCTCCCTCCCTCTCTTTCTTTCTTTCTTTCTTTCTTTCTTTCTTTCTTTCTTTCTTTTTCTTTCCCCTAATTCATCACACATAAATCTAACCTTTCTATTCAAGATGAACATCATTTATTGATAAATCAACCTAATTTTCTAAAACACTACTTATATGTATTTTAATGTATTATTTGCTATCAGTGAATATTGTATATGTGGAGTACTGTAGTTAGGTTTACTTGAAAGCAGTGCAGATTGTAACAGTTCTTATTATGACATTTCTTACTCTCAAAACCTTTTTAGGTAGCAGCTGCTTTCAAACATAATGGCATGCTTGCAACACATGATCCTCTCTTCTCAGTCCTGTGTTTCCCTATATATGGATATATGCATATTAAAAACAGAAACCTTTTTTTAAAGGAAAAATTTGTATGCTTGAAACTTCAAAAACATTTTATGCTTTGCACATACTGTTCACCCCTTCTTTCCAATTGTTAAGAAGGCAAACTTATCTTTTATGTTATCTGAGGTTACTTTCTTTCTGTTTTTTTTAATCTTTCAGGTTTGCTTGTGGACATAACCAAAGACTACAAATATATGTATTTTGTCTGTGGTATAATTGTTGTTGTTTCAAGCATTTGGCTGTTCATTGGAAATGCAATCAATTATAGACTTTTGGCAAAAGAGAAGAAATTAGAAGATGAAAGGCAGAATGCCATAAAGAATGCCGATTCCAAGGAAGTGGAGCCTTTGACCCAAAAAGAGAGTGAAGAAGTTCTCAACAGATCCGGCAAAATGCAAGACAGTCCTTCAGAAAGAGAAACAAATATTTAACATAAATATACATATTTATAATGTTTAAAGTACATGCCAGATGTTTTGTAGTTATTATAATCAATTACAATACTAAATGGCAATAGGCATTTACAAAACCACATGTATTATAAAACACAGTATCACTGTTCTGTTCCTTCTAAAAAGAGAGAAGGGTACAGAAAGAGTCTTCCCAGAACTGCATTAAAACGTTTTCCTCTTCCACCACACTGCCCTGGTAACAATTGACTTATTATGTTAAAATGTCTAGCTATTCATAGCTAGATTAAACTTTTCTGTATCTTGCCTTCAAGCAACCTGTACCTGTCCAGGAGTGCACAGTAATTGCAACAAGGGAACAATCTATAGTGTTGTATGAGAAAGGAGGATTATGCTGGAGTGTTTCAAAAATCCATTGTTTGTTCTGCTCTACATTAATTGGAGCAGGATTTGGTATAAAATGGTATTTTGTATTGGTGTCATGCATTCTAGGGCTCCTGCAAAATTTGATACGAGTTGCTTAAACATAAATCCCAAACAGGGTAGTGTCATGACAGTCAGGTCTTCCACTAACAAACCTTCTTGCTCCAACAATGCCTCACCGAAAAAGTGCTACAATAGTAAAGGAAAGAAATGACTGAATTGACCTATGTCTACTGATCTTTTCACAATTTTATTTTGTGTAGGAGGGGTTGTTTTATTTGTTGCATTTTTATTGTCCACTAGAAGGAAAAAGTGATGCATTCAAACATGAAAGTAAAAATGGAATAGCTACTTGAGTAAAAAGCGCACAAAAATGTATCACCACTGTTTTTATAATGCATTTTTGGTAGATCCAACTGGGTCAGCTATCTCTGAACAAACTTTTACTATGTGGCTTTTAAAGACATGAAAATGGTAAGTTTTATTGCTAAATACAATAATGTTTTCATTTTAGCGAATAAATACAGTTTTTTTCCTCTCTGCTGTAAAATCATTAGAAATTTAAATATATACAACCAGATATTAAATAATATCTGAAATAATACTTAGGATGCATTGTCTCATCATTGTATATTGTAGCTAGATATGCTGGCACAAATGCATATCAGGGTATAACTTTTGTGTTCATCACTTACCTCTGTTTGTATTCACACTTCTTGAAACAAGCTCCCTTACCTTATTAAATATTCTGCCCTTGGTGATCACTATTTTTTTCAAGATGTGGGTGTAAATCATTGCCGCACACACACTGCTACTTGTTAATAATGTTACTCTCAACATGGATTCAGAGCTTTCCTGTTGTAGACCATGAAGTGTGAAATGTTTATAGGGATATCAGGGACCATAAAAAATAATCAGGAGGGAGACTGTATCAGATTTGTGGATTACCAACTGACCATCTTTACAATTTTTCCCCATCTTTAGAAGCAAAAAAATAAATAAATCTGACTCTAAAGATCATAAAGCAGTAGAACTTTATTTTTTCTTTTCCTTTTCCTTTGAGCATGATTATCTAAATAATTGTTCTAATCAGTAACATCTGGTTCCAGACTAGTCTACTCTGGAACAGTGGTCCTGCCTAGACTGAATTTTGGTATAAAGACTCCAAAGTTCTCCTATCTGAAAATTAAAATTAGTTGATCAGTACCTAGATCTAATAAGTTCCTCATATTTGAACATCATTAGGCAGACCTTCTCCCTTTAAAATTTCTTTCATTTTTAACAAGGCACCAAGAGAGAGTAGGGGATTATGGATCCCATGATCATGGACCATGAATGATTACTACCTCAAGCAAAGAGGTGAGATGGAGCTGGTCTTTCTCAATTGGCCAATATTCATCTCAAGCAATGGCTTCTGTACATTTCTTGTAATTGTGCTGAACTAAAGTTACAAAATAAAGCATTCATCCCACTATAATATATTAATTAGAAATAGAACCCTTTGATTACCTACCCTTGTTAAGATCTTAATCTAAACAAATAGCTTTCAAAAATCTGCAGTCTAAATTGACATTGAGTTTCATCCTCTTGCAATCATGATATAGAACAAGATAACCAATTTTGCACATTAAGTGGTGAAATGCACATGCAGTCCACTGTTGATTATCTTATGTTTTCCCCCATGAAACATAGTTTTAAAACGATTTCAGACATTCAACTATCACTGATGTTCACTTCTTGCTACACTATGACTATACTTTGCTCAGAAAGCAGAACTGTAACTCAGCTATTTATAATCAAACTTAGTTGTGAAGACCAAGCTTATTGTAATGGTTAAGGCATCAGGCTAAAAACAGGGAGACAGTTTGCTCTTGTCTCACCTTAGGCATAAAGCTAGCAGGGTGATCTTCAGTCAAACCCTCTCAGCCCTAGGAATGCCAAATTTCTTCTAAAATCTTGCCAAGGAAAGTGACTGAAGGAATGCATGGGTATGTGCAGTGCACACGCACGCACACACAAACATACACATAGCTATAAGAATTTATCTCTAAATAAGCCACGATATGCTGTTGCTTAATAGTTGACATCTAGAATGCGAGCTGCTTAATTCAAACACAATAAAGCAATACCCTGCTTTTCAAACTTTTAATTTTAGGTTTCTAACCAGACCAGAAACAAAGCAAGCAGGAACTAAATGTTGGTTCATAAAGAAGTATTCATGTTATCATCCCAGATCACTAATCTAATATGAATTTGGAAGATAATTTTTTTTCTCCTATAGTGTAATTCTTCCTTCCATTCTACTCAACTATTCATATACCTGCTATAATTCACTATACAATGAATTCCTACAAGATAAGTCTTCTACAATTAATTTGGACAGTTCTCTCCACTAAAACTGCATTTGCAATGAGATGTTAACTTGATCTCTGTTCAGGAATTAATGTCAGACCACTTTGTTTTATGTCATTATAATTTAATACGGTCCTCTAAAAACAACTCAGATGTTAACTCACAGCTGCACCATAGTTGCCTTTAGTTCAGATTTTTAATGTGTCACTATATAGCATCCAAATTTCATCCCACACAAATCTTGTTGGATTTAGCAGCAAGTCTGAAGGGATATTCTATTTCTATTCACTTCAGGGTAAGTAGAACATATTATGTCATCCACAACTTTGTTTTTCAAGATTTTTGATAGCAGAAGAGTATTACTTCTGCTTGAATATTGAATATTACTTATATTCAAGGAAATGCCAGAGAAGCACTTCCAGGCTTCCTCGCTCATGCCCAATGGCCAAGAGCAGGATTTGTCAGGATAATTAGATGAAATTTCTTGTACTCATCTGAATAGGGCTCATACTGCTGTAGAGCTTGTGTAAGGGTTTTCTGAAGGGTATACAATTGTGAGGAATAATGAGATCTATATTTAAGTGTCAGCAGCTGGAGCCAGGATGAAGAAATAGAAGGTGTGTATGGGGGTGGGGGTGGATTTAAATTTGATTATATTCAATTTCAATCTAATTATAATTAATTAAATGCATGTGGGAATGCATGCATTTAGTATTTTCCTCCTGTCATAATAAAACATGCAATTCATTTCCAACTTTTGAAGATTTCTGTGGGCCATACTCAAAGCTTTAGGAGGCTTTTACACATGCATGCTTCCTTATTTTTACATAATGGTAATTATATATTTTCATGCTATACAAAGCAATTGTTCATTGTTAAGTGCATATGGTATATAGGATGTACAATGTTGCCCATATAAGTGTATGAAATTACTGAGGAATGGTGACATCCCTGTCCCCTGTGTCATGTTCGTCTACCTAGATTGCATAAAGATGAATAAAGAAAGAAATATTAAAATTGTATGTAGATTCCATGTAATTTCCATGTGATTAGAACAGATAGTTCTGTAGGCAGACTTTTAAGTTAAAAATGACATGAAAGGCTCTGTTTACATGAAGATAACTTAAAAATAGACAGTCTTTTTTATTAGGCTTAGAAATCTCTGAGGGTATAAGCAGTGATGGGATTCAAAAAAAATTACTACCGGTTCTGTTAGCATGGATTGGTGGGCATGGCAGGGGAAGGATACTGTAAAATCTCTATTCTGTCCCCACTCCAGGTGAAGGTTACTGCAAAATCCCCATTTCCTCCCGTTCAGCTGGGACTCAGGAGACAGAGAATAGAGGGAGCGGGGTGAGTCAGAGGTGATATTTACTGGTTTTCGGAACTTCTGCTACTGGTTCTCCAGAACTGGTCAGAACCTGCTGAATACCACCTCTGGTCCAGACTATTTAGTTCATCTTACCTTGACTTTTAATTAATGATAATTTATACTGTAGTTTCTTTTGTAATTATGGCCAGGATTAAGGAAAGACATTTACTGTATGAGACAAAACAACAAAAGGAACTTTCCTGCAACATATCTAGGTCCACAAAATGGAAAACTAAGTATATTAGCTTAGCAATAGAGGCAACAAACAGTAAACCATACACACCACCAAGCCACGCCCACCAAACCACGCTCACAGAACCAGTAGTAAAAAAAAGTTGAACCCCACCACTGGCACAGATATGTGTAAATCACTTTTTTCCCCTAAAGTGCAGGTGCTGATTGAGATAGATGGCTTTTTCACAAAAGCTCATCTACACCCTTATCTATAATCTCACTAGATAACATAAAACCTTCTAAACAGTTGAATGATACCCATATGCTATAAATGTGAAATAAAAGGCTTTGCCTTTTAAATATAAAGATTATGCTAGGAGATCATTAATGAATCCGATCCAGAGATGGTATTAAGCACGTTCTGACCTGTTCTGGAGAATGGGTACCAGAAAGTTTGAGTAGTTCAGAGAACCGGTAAATACCACCATATATATAATCTATCTATCTATCATCTATCTATCTATCTATCTATCTATCTATCTATCTATCTATCTATCTATCTATCTATCT